ATTCGTATGTTCCACGTTCACTAGAGTCTGGTGCATTTGACACGCGCGTGGAGACGTACGCGTAGTGGAGCCGGCACTCGCCCGTCCAGTCCACCAGGCTCAGGGTCCCTCGCTCAGGGAAGTCATGCTAACAACGCACCGTTACCTCCCAGCATCAACCCATTAATACCCTGACTGCCTCCCTCCCTGCTCGCCCCTGCCACCTCCTGCAACCATGGACGTGGGCCAGGCACAGTTGTCAGTCCCATCCTTCTCTCCAGTTCCGCGGACAAAGACTTACACACTCCATTGCAGCCGGCAACAAATACATACGCCTTCCTTCGCCCTCCAACCCAACACGACTAGGTTCACCACCAGAGACCATCCGCCCCGCAGCACACCCATTGTCACCATGAACGGCAGCGAACTCCCCGTGACGTCTGAGGCCATGTCACAGCCACAGTCAATTGGCATGTGGACAACTCCCGTATCACATGGCATGCGACCTCGCCCAGCAACTATCCACGAGGGCTTTTCCTTCCCCGTAGGCGAGGACTTTGGCGCACTCTCACCCTGGGACTCTTCGGCTCTTCCCTTTCAGACAACACCCAACGGTGTGATTTCTCGCCCTGGGTCAGTCCACCAGCAACAGGACTTTTACCACGCCGCTTGTAATCCAATGGATCATGGTGAGAGGACTCATCAGCTTATTGGCCATATCAGATCTAACGAGTGATCAGGATGGCACCAAAAGGCGTGCCCCGAAAGCTACGATATTGAGGGACTGGATCCAAGCCTGACCATCGGCCAGGCCTTCACGACTGATGAAGCCATTCCCGTTCTTGATTTGAGATTTGCCAATCACGCCAAAGACGGCGAGCCCCTCACCTTCGACAACGGTCCACGCCCAAGACGTATGTCTGGCTCGTCATTCACTATGTCCACATCGGGGGCATTGTCTGACATGCCCTCATATGACGACTTTTCTGCCGCTCTCTCTGAGGCGCCCTCCTTCAGCTCCGACTATCCTCCGCTGTCGAATCGTAATTCCCTCATGTCGTCGACCCAACTCTCCCCTGTTGCGTCCCCACGAATGACTCCTCAGAGCAGGACGGAGCTTGTCAGGACACAAAGTCGAGGACGCGCATCGCCATCCCCTCGGCCCGGAGTACGATCTGCCCCTTATAGTGTCGACAGACCCCAGAACAAGCGGTGGTCGACAGGCACCTATGGTACCACGCCCCAACGACGACCGTCGCCCTTTGTCTATCACCCGGGGCATGACGCCTTTGGTGCCCACCAGCGGCTGCCCTCGAGGAACGGCTCCCCGACGATACAACACCAGCATGTTCCCTTGAGCTTCAACAACCTACAAGCCGCTCAGCAGCATCCTTTTCTGATACCAGGACCTCCTCAGTATCCGCAGAGCAACATGTTCCTGCCCTCCCAGGTGCCGTCGCAGGGCTTTCATCCTGAGCCTCAGCGATTCGAACAACCGCCTCCCCTGATGTCTCATGGCCTCTTCCGTATGCTATCGAGCAACGCCGACCCGCATGCCCTGCACGGTCACTATGCTGACTTGTCCGATCCTCCTGATCTATACGCCGCGCTACATGAGGAACAGATTCCTCCCCCGCCCGAGGACATGAACCCATCAGACCCTGACCTTGTGCCCCACGAGCAAGAGCTGCGATTTGAGGGAGATTTGTACACTCCCCGATGGGTACGTGGACATGGCAACAAGCGCGAGGGATGGTGCGGAATATGCAAGCCTGGTCGTTGGCTCGTCCTGAAGAACTCTGCATTCTGGTATGATAAGTCCTTCACACACGGCATCAGTGCGGCCACGGGTAGCCCTTTCCAGGAACCTCACGAAACCCGTCGCATGGATGGCAACCCGGATGTCTGGGAAGGTCTCTGTGGCAGCTGCAACGAGTGGATCGCTCTAGTGAGCAGCAAGAAGAAGGGGACTACGTGGTTTAGGCATGCGTACAAGGTAAGCTGGACAATAGTGATGCGGAAATTGTAGAAGTGCTGACCATTATCTCCAGTGTCACACCCATCCCAAGATCAAGGATGGCCCAAAGCGTCGGCGAGAAAGCAGCAACACGAGAGCCTTGGCGGCCTCGACGATGGCAAGGCCCAAGTCGGAGTCGCAAACACAGGCACAAGCCCCTATCACTCCACAAATGACACCGGCGGCTCTCTCCACCACCAGCACGCCGACGCCGGCACAAATGTCTCAACACGGGCTTTGCCATCATCCCCCACCCCCCATGCTGCACGTGGGCCAAGATCACATGCATAACATGATGTCCAGTCCATTGGGCGGGATCCCGAATATGATCTGAAACAATCCTCTACCAGGCTTGTGAACGGATGAATCACGACTTTGCTTCCATCTTCTTTGTCCTGCTTCTGACACGCAGCCCATGCCTACTGCGGTTTGTGTCACGCCGTAACGAAGCTCTTTGACAGTTCTTCGACATGATGATGACGGATTTGGGTTTATAGACGGTTGGGTAGTGTCAGTGGCTGATCCGAGAAGGCCTTCGGGCAAAAGGCTGGCCAGAATTTCAAGTTCAGCAGCGCCGCAGCGCAGCCGCTGCGGACGAGTTCGCCTTTCGAGAACGGGGAGACAGGTACACGATCCTCCATTTTTTTTCTGCTACGTTCCTTCTCAACAATATTTCCTTTCCTTTCCTTAATTGTACTGTCACATTCACGCTTGATCTTTTTTCTTAATCCTAGATAGCAGGTCTACCGCGCAAGTAGCTCGGAGCAAGGAGG